AAAAAAGAAACTTTTATAATTCTCGATAAATAATTTCTATATAATATTTTATTATTATTATTATCGACATATATATATATATTATTTGTACTTATTGTTTAATTAAAACAATTGTATAATATTTTTGTTAATTAACGTATTACAGAATATTTGGAATCAATTGATGTGTTTTAAAAAACTGATGAAATTATCATAGGGGTAGGTGAGAGATGAAATGGGGGAAAATATAATAAAGATTATAGAAACATGTTTTCCCTAGTGAGATCAACTATGATACTATTCGTTAGGATAGGGTGTCATCGATAGTAGTAATAACCGAGTTTCGATTGGAATCACTCGAGAGCGATTATCGTAATAATGCAAGATTCCAACCGATATCGTGTCACCTTCTATGACACCGCTTTGATCAATCGTCACCCTTTGTCTTGCATGTTCATACTCGGTAACAATCAAACAATGAGACATTACATATTAAATTAGAGTAAATATCTTTTGATTGCCATAATTCTCTCTCTAGGGTTATTGTCTATCGTTAATTATTATTATCTCGTATTAATAATTAATCAAATTATTTTATTTGTTATTATATGTGAAAATACTACACACAGAAAATTATTATATTATATATAAATTATATCTTTTTTCCTTATTTTTTTTAAACATATCGCATATAATAATTTAGTTATTATTTGATTTAAATAAATTATTATTATTATTATTGTTATTCCTCTTCACTCATTTGTCGTAACAATGTGAAGTATGACATAGACGTACTGAGTATCTATCATAATATAATAATTATATATTTTTGTAATATTTTTTAAGGAAATATTTCAATTAACATCACCATATTATATTTTTGTTCTGAATAAAACATATATATATTATATTGTATATTATTTCTCTCTTTCTTGATAACACTTACCCCGGTAAAAGTTTCCAACGACATTACGGCGAATCCTCCAGCAGTCAAAGTACATGGCCGACGTGACCTAAGCATGATCATGCTTACACCGTATTTTAATGCTTTCCCTTTTCCCTCGTTTGGCATCAGATACCAACAAGAGTTATACACCGATTCTGAGAGTCTTGAACTTTGCACTATTATATCGTTGCACGTCCAAGTATATATTAACAACTGAGATAAGCTTCCGGTAAAGTAAATAGCAAATATGCATTTCCTTATCAACACTTCGGCAGCCTGCAAATCATAATCATCGATATATTATTAATTACATTGTTAAAATTTACGTTGGTGTGGTTGGTTGGTTAAACATTTGTTTTTTTCTTAAGGTTATTTTTTAATAAATATTGTTTTCATAACTTACTAAAAATTGAAAACCACCGAAACATATTACCAAACTGGACAACGTTAATTGACCAAATAAAATGATAGTAAACACGCGTTCCATTTCCTCGATGTAAGAAATCAATGCACGATGTTGCAATACGCAATCCCTTAATTCGATTAAAGCGTAATCAGCAGCTTTATCGATGGGCAATGATTTTTCGTTCGTCATGGTATTGATATATCTTTCCCCGATCATTTCCAACCTGTGTGCTAAAATTTTGAATTGTGCCGCTACGTGTATGTTGAACGTGCAAATAAAATTGTCGAAACAAAATGTACAAATTCCTGAATGAAATGTTGAAAGAGACTGGAATATTAAATAATATTTTATATAAATCGATATATATATATAGGATTTTTTATTTATTTTTCTTAAAAAGTAATATCGAATGTGTTAACGATGAATCGCGTTATTTACCTGAATCGTATAAGTAATCTCGTAATAAGGGGTAATTTTGAGTGGTAAATCAACCCACAATTTAAAAGGTAACACGCGATCCGTCTCGTTTCTTCCAATATTTTCTAAACAATTTCGTAATTAATAATTCAAATAATTAAATTTAATTAATATACGATACGCGCGGTGGTAACAATAATTGACTTACCGACTAATGGCGCAAAAATATAATTAAACGCAGCTAAATTAACTATCACGGTAAACGTATATGTCATAAGAACACCACGTTTGTCGTATTCCTCCAATATTTTAGCACTCGTATTATCGTATTCACCTTTCCAAAAATTTTGTTCGGCATAAGTGATTAACTTTAAAACGATATTACGATAATATATGAAATTACCGAATTTCACTAATATCATAATTAAAAGCATCGTTGCGCACAAATTGTATGTCAATGCCTGAAGTTAATTTGAATAATTTTGTTTAATCAAATCAAATAATTCCTTAGTCATTGTCACTAACGTTGATGTGTGTGTTAAAGTCGAAGATATTGAATAAGACTGAAAGAGAAATGACAAAGAGAGTACCTTCACTTACGTAAAAATCACCTAGACAATGATAGAGGTCAGCGAACTCGACGCAAATTGCAAATACTATCGCTAAAATTGCATAACTTAGGGCTACGTAAAGTAGCATTTGTTCCCGTCTCGTTTCCACCACCCAAAACCCAACAAATTTCATAAAGATACGCGTTATAGTAACCGATAGATATCTGTCCTTCTTTAACATCTTGTATCTAGGATAATATCATCTATGATAAAGTCTTAGAGAGTTTCCTAGTCCATTCTAAGTTCTAAGTCCTGTTTGCAGTCCCTAGACGAGATTGATGGACACTTATCCGGTAATATGCTATAGTGTAGCATGTAATCAAGTATCATTTTCCAACGATCAATCAGAATTACTTCAACTACTAGCTAGTTTGTTCAAAATTTCTCTTAAATCATGTAACGTAAGTGATCTCAATTATTGGCTTTCTTTTATCTGTCTTTCTTTCTTTTCTTTTTTTTCTTTTCTATTGGATTTTTCACAGTCTTATATAGTGAACTATGGGAAGGAAAGGTCCGTGTAACTTGTTCGTTAAAGAATTAGTTATTCTCGTCAGTATTGTGTTTATTTGTGTTTAAAATAAAATATAAGTAAGTAATTCAGTATTTTCTCTCGTCCAAAATTATAATTTTTGATGATATAGGTTCATAGGGAACTTGGACATGAAAAGAAGTAGAACTTAATTTTATTAACTATTAAATTAAATTAAGTTCTACTTCTTTTCATGTCAAAGTTCCCTATGAACCTATATCATCAAAAATTAGTAAGTAATATTGGTGTTACAATTTGTAAAATGTTGTTGAAGATGAATTGAGCAATATATATCGACAGATAATTAAATAAGTTTCTATATTGTTCATAAAAGGTAAGAATTTTATACCAACAGTCTATAATTTCAATAATTATTGCAATCTATTTTACCAATGTAAGAATTTTTGTTGGTAAATTACCATCAGATCTCGATCGGTAATTCTGATGGTAAGTAGAGCACTACTATTACCAATATCGGCTTAGACAGGTTACTAGAATTTCAATATTTCTGAAACTTTCTTATTTTCTAGTAACTTTTAAAAACAAGTAGTCTACACAAAGTGATTGTCTAATTAAAATTTTATATACATTTAAATGCAAACAACAATTAAAAATCTAATATAGATATTTTGTTTGAATTATTTATTAAAGGAGTTTACTCGTTAAGAACGATTGTCTTTTTGGAACAGGTACAGGAAAAATACTTACTAGATTAAAAAAATACCTATATCGTTTTGGAGCTAGAAAGTCTGGAGAAAAATGGACAAACAAAAAGTGTGCAATTGATTGAAAACAAAAAACAATAGAAAACTTCATTGCTTTGTTCAGAAGTGAGAAGAATCGTTTTTGTATAAAAGCACTTAATCATTTTTATCTGCTGTTAAGGTTTTTTACCAGCGTTCCTACGGTAAAAATAAAATTCGGTAGATAAAAAAGGAGACCTGTATTCTTTGGTAATATTCTTGATCTATCTTATTAACTTACGATAATATCCACGATTTATCTTGCGAGTGGTCGATAATAAAAAAAACTGTAAACTTACAATTAATCTTCTTAGAAAATAATCTAGTTGATAATGAAATTACATTGTATTTACCGACGTGGTGATATAAAGTTTAATATAGTTTAAGAAATTTACGATAGTTTGATCTTTGGGGTACTTTTTACCATGAATTGATAGAAAGTTAAATGATGAAAGAATCTGTAGAAAGATGTTGAGAAAAGACAAAAAATCCGATTGTTTTTTGTCGTAACCAAATAATATTGTAATTGTTAAGTAAAAAAAAAAAAAAAAAATACTATTTATTCAATAAATCGCGTCATTAGATTTAATTATTAGATAAAATCGTAGCTTATAGATTCGAATAAGGATAACAATTAAAAAATCATTTCTATTTAAAAGTAGATAAAAATAACCAAATTTCAATAGACATATTTTCATAAAACAATATAAAATACCAATAAAATTATGAATCTTAAAATGAAGCTCTCTATAACAATTGTATGTGCAACAACTGAGACCACGCGTTCCAACGGGTGGTTTTTAAATCAAACGTTAAAATGAAAGTTGTATACTTAATCGAAATAAAACGTACAAACAATAATATAATTATATAATTCATATAAAATGAATAACAACAAGAAGCAAAATATACAATAACGTAAACGTAATAAAATAAGAAACTATAAAACAAGAAATTGTCTTCAATCTCGTTACATCGTAATTGATGAAAATTGAAAAATATATAAAGCAAATTAAATTGGTTATTTCGAAATTGAAGAAATATAATATCGAACGTTCGATCGGATCCGTATAATAAACGACATATTGACGAACGTCCAGTCAATCAAGTTTCCCGCGCTTTTTCTCCAAATAACGGTAAGACAGTTCTCGAGGTAAGGAGCGTACGTCTTTTTCCGAAGAAAAGTATTTCTCGATTTCGGAACGCGACTTATCGGTGTAGTATCATTACAGAGATAGTCTTCTTGATCGGATTGAAGCAACGAACAAGCATCGTACAAGCATGTAACACATATACACACACACATATACACAATGTGTTATATGTAACATAACGTATCTTATCCCTTAGATTGTGAAGAGTAGTATGTACATATATGCGTATATACACACACGAACATATCCATATATCTATATATATATGTACCATGCCTCCTTTTATACGATATTACGAGGGAAGAGAAAAAGGAGTGGATAGAATCTGTTAAACGATAAACGAAGGTTGCCTTCTTCTCTTCGAGTGATCTAGAGATCCTTCTTCGAGATCGTTCCGAACGTTCGGACATGTTCCGCGTAATCGAATTCGCGAATACGAAAAAGCGAAACCGTTCGAATGGGCCAATCGGCATCGTTTACCAACGTACGCTTACCTTCCAAACGTAATTCAGTTGTCTTGTTTACAACTGTGTAAGGCCCATCTTCCCTTCTTAGAGTCTTGTCATCCTTTTCTCTTTCTCTTTCTCTTTCTCTTTCTCTTTCTTTCTTTATCCTATATTTTATACTCCCGTGTGTCTTCTTCAGTTGTGTTTTATCATCGATGTCCATCCAGATGTTGTTCCGCTCGTGAACGCGGAAGCGCAAATGTTTATACGTTAACTTGGTGAGTACGCGACAAAACTTTACATTATTTTCTTTCGTTCAGTTATTTTATCCTATTATTTTCTTTTTTTTATTCTACTTCTTATTCTTCTTGTTCCTTTAAATACGGCATATATTCGAGAATGAATATTATTGTGTGTAGATATTGTAAAATTTCTATATAAAATTTCTATAAAATATAATAAATATAATATAATATATAATAAATAATATTTTTATATAATATGTATATAAGAGATGTGTAACATTGAATGAATTTAAATGAAGTTTTTCTAACTTATCTCTCTCTTAATCAAGTTTATTAATAATATAACTTTATATTTGAATAAATACATACATATATACATACATACATACATTTGCCCCATTGATGAATGTTTAACGTGGGGGAAAATTTCAAAATGACTTCATTTGAAAATACAATGAAGAGTTTATTCTCTTTCCATTGTTTTCTGAACGTTACTTTTGTTTGTAATATGCTATAGATTTGTTGTGTGTAAGTATATACAGAATCACGTACACACACACACACATACAACACCAGAATATATATGTATACAATAGCTTTTGAGTTTGCTTTACTCACTTCTCGTCCATTGTTCTTATTCAACTTCCAAATTGCTACCGGTTAGAACGAACGCCTGTAACGTTACTTTTGTGTTGGCTTTAGCAATACGTTCCGTTCCATACACGTACGGAGAAAATTAAATATCCGCGAAATTCATCTTCTCACACGGTCGGTCGGCCAGCTTGTTGATTTTTAATTAATTTCGATTAAAAAACTTTCATAACTTCTCTCTTGACGCCAACAACGTTCACATGCGATAACTTACAAAATTTATTATCTTTCATAATTTATACTTTTTTCCTTATTATTACGTTAAAAGTATTCTATTATATATGTATTAGTTTTATTTTCTTTTGGCGCGCGTTTTGAAAAGTGAAGTTGGATGCGATCGAAAAATCGACACCACGAAGTTGTCGATATTTACGATGCGCGGGAAAATTGAAGTTATTTTTGAGGTTATGTTCGTTTTAGTACGCTAAAGAAGTATAACTTCTTACGTGCGTACGTGAGTACACACATTATTTTTTCTTTTTTTCTTTAACCCTTTGAGTACTACTATGGACGCATATATGCGTTTGGTAAAAGTTGATATGCGTGTTTTTTGTATCAATGTTAATGTAAAATAATGTAATAGTTTTGTTTGTATTTTGTCAGATGAAAATAATATTGTGAGAAAGGAAAAATTGTAATTATTAGATATAATTTATTAATATTAGCATCTGGTCACATTAATAATAAACTATTTCATTCTAAGAAAACACTCTTAAGTTAAAAGTATTCAGCACTCAAACGGGTTAAATACAAAAAATCAATTTAATTTGCAATTGTATATTTAATTTATAATTTTGTATTATAATATAATGTATTATACACAATTATATAAAATAATTGTATCTAATGTATAAAATTTATTACAATTGTAATACAAAATTCTTTATAATACAAATAAATCAATATGAAAAATATAATATATTGTCGCTTAATAAATATTGATCGTAAATTGATATTTATTAATAATACCGATGTCAAAGGTGGTCAACCTTGGAATAAAAATTCGATGAAATGATTTAAAACCAAATTTTGTCGACGAAGTTATACGAAATTGCAGAAACCAAAAAAAAACACAAAAAGATAGGGGTGGTATGGGGTTTCTTGTTCCTGAGTTAACAATAAACAAAATCGAATGTAAGGAACGATAATATTTATATTGCAACTCGTCGAGTGAGAGAGAAAGAAAGAAAGAGAAAAATTCTTCCCGTACTCGAAAGAATTTCTATGGTGTGTCGCAGTGAAAAGGCACCGAAGAGGCCAAGACTTCCTCTCCCTCTCTCTCTCTCTCTCTCTCTCTTTCTTTCTTTCTCACACACAGATGTTTCACTCGAGATTACGACATTCTTACGTTTTTCTCTCTCTCTCTCTCTCTCTCTCTCTCTTTCTCTCTCTCTCTCTTTATTTCACGGCACAGATTGAAATCTGTACGGTGCGAGAGAGTATAGCCACGGTCCAACGTCATTTTTTTTTTCCCCTCGTTCTTTCACTTTTTGCTTTCACGTCGTAACCCTATACCCCGAGACGTTGCTTTTCAAACGTCGTCCACCATGAGACAACGTCGACAACGAATACGACAAAGATGAGAGAAAGAGAAAGAGAGGAGAGAAGAAAGAAAAGTATACTTCCTTATAATCGTTCCGGATAACAATTTTTATTTACTCACGATCGTAGTTTTTTATTTTCCCCTCCCCCACCTCCCCTCCCCATTTACTATTTCTTTTTCATCTCGATTATTCTTAAAAGTAACGCGTATAAAATGATTACATTGAAATTTTGTACCTTAATTTACGCCCACGTAAATTTATTTCGACAATGTTACCTATTAAATAACAGGTGAGGGGGGGGGTAAGGGGATTTTTATTAATTTATTATTTTTTTGTTTCTTTTTTATCTTTCCTCTCTTTTTATAATCTAATTGTTAACGAAAGTTCCTACGAATTTATATAAACGTTCATTTATAATATACACTTGATCAATATTAATATACTTAATGAGAGTATTGAGTTTTGTTTGGTAAATTCGTATCAATTTCTTGACAATATTTTTATAATAAATGTATCTATTGTTTACTTTTTTCGTTCTATTTTTGTACTAATCCTAACAGCAAACTCTGACGTATCCTTGACGAAAAATTCAAGAATTTAGAATTACAATATTAAACAAGAATATATAAATTGATTCTAATATATCTAGTGTTTAAAAAAGAAAAAAGAAAATTAGAATGAAATTTTGTAATATATATCTCTCTCTCTCTCTCTCTCTATATATATATATATATATATTATATAACACTTTTTATTTTCGTTCTAATCGATCAATCAATAACGACCAATGGAACGAGGCGTTAATGTTGTCGGTTTTTACTTGAGGTTAGTGATGGTAGACCCTAGAAATCGTAAGACTACATCATAGACTCTCAGATGATATATCAATTACGGTCGGGCACACAACCTGAATAGCCGATACCCATGAATATCGGACGCATGTGTGCACTTGGAATGACCACACGCGCTACACTTACCTTAATGGATAACGAATGCGCGTCTCGTAAAAGTTCCTTCCCCTCTAGGGAAAACGTTTAAGGCGATCCCTTTGATATAACGGGTGTCGGATAGATAAGGAAACATATATATATATATATAGATATATTTATTTATCTTATTGCTATGTGGAAACACATCAGGGAGATGTCCCATTAAGATAACAACTTCCCATAGGGAAAGGTTACCGAGAAATTTCTTTTCGAAAAATTTTCTTTTCAACCCCGTTAATCCCAATTTGTTTGATAGACTTATTCTTAAATCTTCGTGCATCTTTTTTTCTTTTTCTTTTCTCTAAAGGTCTCGTTTTATCGAAAAAAAACAAAAAGACTTGTTGACTCTACCGTTTACGAAAGATTTTCAATATTTTTCATTCCCGTTAAACTTTAAGCTTATGCAGTGTGTGTGTGTGTGTGTATGCGTGATTTTGCCTTTCCTCTCATGTAATATGCTTCTTTTTTTTTATACTTATGCAAATATTTAATAGGTTACTTTGTAGATTTCGACATCGATTTGCAAGACTGCACCCAATGAACGAGCAAACTGCTCTTTTAATATGTCAAGTTTAACGTGTCGTTTCACGTATAATTCGTTTTTTTCTTCCAATGGTTTTCTTCGTTTTCATATTTGCTTCGAATTTTTCCATCGAATATTAATAATTAATAACTAATAATATTGTCAACTTACTCGTTAGTCATTTAATCGAAACGAATCGATGAAAAAAATAATGTTCATCTCAAATATGGCGGCCGTTTCTAACCTAACATATTTTCATAATGAATTACATTTTTATTTTATCACACATTAATAATAACTTTAATATATAATATTTAGAAGAAGAAGAAGAAGAACAAGAGATATTATTTTTTCTCCCAAATCACAAAAAGTCAAATTAATGATCAGAAATGAAATCGAGAAGAAAAATTATGT